CAAGGAGCTGCGATGGCTCTCATATCTCGGGCAATCAAAGAACACATGTTCCACCGTTTCTTTTGTATTTGGACATGCTGGGCATGTGTCGTCTTCGTCATGTTTGAATTTAAAAAGATATGCTCTGAAGCAGCTGTGTCCAGTTAACATCTGGGTTAGGTAGTAGTTCACCTGCACATGCTTTCTGTCGGTTCAATCACTTATCTTCGGAATGAGCCTATGTGTCCATCTTCCCTTTGTGGATATATCCCAACTCTGTTGCCACTTATTCAATGCTTCTTCATTGAGCTGGTTGAAGTTTGTAACCCTAGTTCTTTTTGCTGCATGCTTTTCCTTTTCAATTTCTGCTTCCTGCTGTAGTGGCATCATTCCGGCAATAATCATGGCGCGTCAGTAGATTCTGTACGGAATGCGGAACTAACTCTGAATGCGCATCTTCTGTATGCTGCGTCTACTCCACGTCGTAGATGCTCTTTAAAGGTGAGTCTGTTGTCAATCATTCCTCCAAGATACTTGATTGCTTGTTTTGATGTGACTCGTTCATTGCCAACAGTTATTGTAATGTACTCGGTCTTTTTCCCGCTGCTTGCAAGAAGGACTTCAGTTTCATGATCAGCAAGTTTGAAGCCTACACTTGTGATCCAGTTCCTTACAATAGCGACCGTATCGTTGCATGTTAATTCTATCTTTACTATATATATGTTTCTCTCTAACCACTAGGGCGATGTAATCAGTAAAACCAATAATTTCTGTGCCTTCAGGGAGCTCAAGTCTCAGCACTCATTGGAGTGCTGCTAGAACAGTGTCCCAGTTCGCTGAGCTAAATGCTTTTTTAACGTCTAATGTAATGATGACACAGTATTCTTTGTCTCCTTCAAGCCAATGGTCTCCTTTAATACCATCTTTTGCTATGGCTATGACTGCTTCCACGGCCTCTATTGTGGAGCGTGCTTTTCGAAAACCAAATTGTCTGTCTGATAAACCGTTGCCATTCGAGGCTTCCTCTAGTCTTCAGCTAATTATGTTCTCCAAAAGTTTACCGGCCGTGTCAATCATACATAGCGGGCGGTAGCCTGATGCATCTTGTATGTTATTGCCTTTTGGTATAAGCACCAACCTCTGTATTTTCCATATCTGGGGGAATGTTCTCTCCTTTATACATGCGTCGAACACTTTCCTGAATGAATCGGCGTTGATTTCTGTGGCCATCTTAAGTTCCAGGTTTGTTATTGCATCTACTCCAGGTGCTTTGTTTAGTTTCATCCCTTTGCACACCACTTCCAATTCTTGCCTGCTAACCTCAGCTATTTCATTCTGTGGCTCATTATTTTGTACTGTATAAGTTATATCAGCGCTCTGCGGGAAGAGACCTTCAACTATTAATTGTAGCTTAGCTGCGTCTGTTGTAACTGGACGGTAGCTATATAATTTTTTCATAATCACCTTGTATCCTAGTCCCCAGGGATTATTCTCGACTTCCTCGCACATTTCCTTGTAGCATCTTACCTTGCTATTCTATACTATAAAACATCGCTATCGATGTTTTATAGTCTTCTTGGTGCGCTATAAAGTTTTCACGACTCCTTGTTCTTTGACATTGAACACGGGGAGGTTGTTTGACATTAAGAGCTTAAAAGCTTCTTTGTCCAAATTTAACTCTTTCCAAAGCGGATTTGGGGTGGCTACCACAGGAATGGTTCTTGCTGTGCGTTCATGTATTTCGAAGATAATAGCTTCGTGATCACTTCGTGTGTAGATATCTGACACTTGCCACTCAGTTGACTTAGTTAGTGTAGCGCTGATAAATGTCAAATCTGTCTTAGAGCTTTTACCATTCCTTGAGAATGCGTCCTTTTTGGCCGCAGTTCAATAACACCACATCCAGGGTGGTCAATGCCTCTAGTAGGCACTCTCCTCTGGTGTTTGTCAATGTTGAGCCCCATTCTATGGCCCAGGCATTGAATTCGCCGGCAATCACTATCGGCTTCATATTTTTAGCGTCGCTAACAATATCGTTCAGTGTTTGTTTGTATTCCTCGATTGATAGACTGGGTAGCCCAGCAGTGATTGTCTAGTGTACTATAATGTTCGCTCATTATAGCTAGATCTATTTTAAGTTCGCGTACAGTCTGCTTTAAAAGATCCTGTGCCGCTTCACAGTGGTTTAAGTTCAGCTGTAAGACTTTCATCTTTTTTTTTTTTTAGTATCTTTCGGCGAGCAGTCAGGTAGTGAGGACATTTAGATCCTCCCGTAATATGGTTAGCGTCAATATTTGTGTCAGTTCTACAAAGTAGACAGCGAGGGGCACCTTGACACACTTTAGCAAGGTAGTCCTGTCCACCACACTTGTAGCAGTGTTTAGACCAGTCTTTGGAGCTTTGACAGTTCCTTGCCACATGTCCAAAATCGAAGCATTTGTAACATCTCCTGGGGATAACTTTTTGGAGTAATCGGCATACGGTCCTTCCAACTCGTAGTTTGCCCACTTCCGCAGCTTTACCGGCCTGCTTCTTTGGTATTACAATTATAGCCGTTCTGGTACCTCCAGGGGCGTTTCTTATTGTTTTAATCGCCGAGGGGTGTATTTCGCCTATTTGGTTTTTGCATGCAGCAATTATTTCCTCTTCTGTGGTTATTTCGTCCAGATATCGTAGTTCAAATGTAGCTTCTTCCATAAGCGTTTTAACCTCTATTTCCTCGGGTAGTATAGTTTTAATCTGGTCTTGGTGGACACTTGTTATTGTTTCTGCTGATTTTTTGAATTCAAGCAGAAGTTCTCCTTTTTGTGTTTTTCTGATGGAGTGAACATCATTACCGACTGCTTTAAGCTCTGGGGCTCCCTTCACTTTCCGGAGTATTCCGCAAAAGAAAGTTTCTCGGTCGGTTTAATGATCACTATATCCGGTCGAGGCGGTTTCTCGTGTTTTTTGTTTGTAGAACCCAAGCGTGGCACTTGTTATTGTCTTCAATTCGTGCTTGGGACACATCGGCATTGGCGTTCGTTCCGGCCGCCGTATCTACGTGCTTTCTACCAATGCTTTCCTTGGCTCCTTAGACTTAGTATTATTTGCCCCCACAGTACGATTTGTTTTCGTCTTCTTAGGCGGTGTCCTCCTACTCTTTTGGATTTCTTCTCTTAACCGCTTGGATGTAACTGGTGTTTGCTGCGGCTGAATTGTTTGGGTACCTCTATCATTGGTTTTAGCGGTGAAAGTTTTATTTGATATCTCTTCGGCAGTTCGTTTATAGAGCGATGATATCGTTGCAACAAGATCACGCATTGCTTGGTGGATGGACCTTCTTCCTCCACCCATCATCACATTTAGCTGGGATATTTTATCTCCGAGTTTAATGAACGCTTCCCTTTTCACTTTTGAAGCACTGTTCCCATTAAGCTCCGGTGGGGATGAGCGAGCTCTCTCGTTGTTTTGCCTCTCTTGTGACAGCACAGGTGAGTGTGTAAGTCTTGGCGCCCTCATGAAGGGGTTTTGGCTGGATCTGACTATCCGTAACTTCTTTGCACTTTCGGTGCCGGTTGGAGTATTAACGCCAGAGTGTGTTGATATTTTTGTAGTTGTGAACATTTCCTTTGCAATTGGGTCCCAACTTAAAGCCATTATCTTAGTTTCGTTGTGTAGTTACCCTTATTATGGTTCCGTGATTATCTTTGCAATGCAGGGAAGTCATGCAAGGGTTGACACATGGCGCATGTGTTCAGAGTCAAACCGGGAGCTAAGCAGAAGATATCTTAACTGCCCTTACACCCCAACTTAACAGGACGAATCCAAGATCGTTCTTTAAGGCTTGCCAGGTTTTAACGGGATGGAGGCAGATGACGCATTAGGCTGAAAGCCGTCTGGATGCTTAGTTGGAGCCAGCGTCTACTCGGCTCAGCTCAGGAGCTTCTCAGGGTTTCTGTGACCTTTTAAGCCACACCCTCCGATGCCTGGCTGAATTTTAGTCGCCTTGTACGACAGGCATGCCTTACCGCGGGAATATTCTAATCCCTATCCCGCAGGGGAATAGAATCGCACAACATTTGTGCGTGGTGCTTTGCATTTTTGTGCACAGCAGAGTGTTTTTCTGCACCCTGATTTTATGTATGATCCATGTTATTTTGTTTGTGTAATCACCAATCAAACCAATATCGTACACAACATATTTTGCTTAAGCAAAATCATATAGGAAAAACTCTAATATCAGAGCAAATGCATACATAGCTTCTGGTTCATGCGTAAGAAGGGAGCCAAATACGAAGTAAAGTTTCTTGGTACGGACTGGATAGACAAATACTTTTTTAACTCTTCTTTGTTATCGCACACTTACTAAATATATTTGTATGCATGGGTATGTGAGACAATATTTTTGAATGTGACGCTTAGACTTTGTTTTTGTGCATTTTTTTTTTGTCTCAAAATATATGACTGGCTTTGTGTGCATGAAATGCACAAGTCTTCCAAATTATTTAAAATTTGATTTTTGCTGAAATTTTATACTGGCTTCATACTAATATATGATGTTTGCCTATGATATGATGCGAAAACACCGGAGTAGCGCAACCACAGTTGTTATTAGTGTAAATGCTCTTAATGTTTGGTTGTGAAGCTGTGCTATGCCATACAGTAGCAATGGTTTCATGAAGAATATTCATAAACACCATATTATACAATAATTGATTATGTTTTATATATTAAGTTTTTATTATTATTTTCTTATATCAAATAAAATAGAATTATTAACTAAATAATATTACTTGAATCATAAAAAATAAAATTATAAACTTAATATAACTTAATTATTCAAAATAGATATATTAACTAAATTTAATTACATATTACTTATAATCATTTAAAATAAATTCATTTATATTAGGGTGAATATTTTTGTTTCATTGCTAATTTTTCGAAGCATTTGTAAGTAGTATTAGACTTATATTTTGTATATAATTTTTATATATAATTTCTGTATTTCTAATCCTAATCCTGTGTATAAACTTTAACATTGCGAAGTTAGTGCTTTTACCTTTTGCTCTATTTCTTTTTATTAAAGAAATATTTATTATTCAATAGTATTAAGTTATTTTGAGGGTTGCGGCAATTCTGTAGCAAAAGAGTTCAAGTCTGTCCATCAATCAAAGTCTGTTTGTAAGCTTGAGACTAAGATGTTTTATTTTGATGAAGATGTGCTTCTACTAAGGTGGTTGCTAGTGTATGCTAAGGTATTTATCGCTGTCATCTGAGAGTAGCTGTTTTTCATTTAGCAGAACAGGTTAGTATACGTGACGTGAAGGTTATTTGTATCGTTTTGGATTCATTTACTTGTATTTTACAATTTTCTAGCTTACAAAGGTCATTTTGGAGGTAGTGTGAAGTTGTTGCTGAATTTGTATGATTTGTAAGTCAAACTGAGTCATCAGCAAAAGTGGCAGTTGATACATTTTCAGTTTTTAGAAGATCGTCTGCACATGCTGGGTCCCAAAACACTACATTGAGATCAGTGACTACGCGTGCCGTATCTGGAAAGGTTTTCGGCCCTTCTACAATGTTGTTTTTACATGTACAACTTAATAAATTGAAATATATGAGTTGTTTTATTAATAACAACTATATTACATTAGGCAACAATATTTACAATATAATATTAACAATTCAACAACAAAATAACATATTAAACAAATTAAATTAATAATTTATATATAAGTTTAATATTATATCAATATGGAATAAACACAACTTTTCACATACTTCTTATAACATCAAAACAAATTTTTTTTAAACAAAAGAGTTTGTACTCAAAACCATACATGTTTATGCAGTGATCGAACAAAATCAAACACACTTGAAACGTATGAACGTGCGGCGAACTTTTTCGCACATCAGGCGGTTGATATTCGCCGGTACTACAGCTAAAAGAGGAGAGACGAAATTTAAAGAAATGTACTGAAATGTGTACTGCAGATTAAACCGCGCAACCAAATGTTTCGGCAAATTAACATGTTGAATTCGTTTGCATGCAGTTGATATTCGAATAGAACAAAAAATTACTCGCATATAATTCCCACTATATAAATCCATGTTTCTAATATTACAAGAGTGAGCACATGCACATTATTTTGTTACTTTTTCTGTTAAGCACAACTAACAGCAGAAATTTGTGAATGCAGTTGCAACATATAAATGTGCGCTCAACTTCTCCGCATACGAAAGACGAAATATAATAGAAATGTTCTACGATTTGAGCTGCAAACTTATGAGCACTATTAACAACTATAGTAGATAAGAGAAGCAAATTGATTGAGCTTTCTTAGACAATTATATTTAAATGTTTGTGCTAAAACTTTTACTTTTAAAAATATATAAATAAAAATGTAATAAATAATATTAATTCTTGATGTAAAGATATATAATATATTTATGTATATTATTTGATATTTTACAAATTATGTTAGGGTGTGCACCGTACACCTGCGCACCTTAGAACAGCCGTCACTGATTGAGATACTTCTGCTTTTACTACATGTAATTTTGTACTTTCTTTATTGAACTTAACTAAAAAACGTCTATCTGTAAAGTAAGTGGCAATACTTTGTGCTATGGTTTTGGAAGTTTATTCTTAATCACTTAACCACAGATAATGAAGCGCTTGCGTAATATCAAAAAGGCTGCTGTACATTTGTTATTCTTCGAACACAATGCACTTATTTTATAGTATTATGACTAAATTTGTTCGGGAAGAGATTTTTTTTATCAATGACCGGTTTGAATATAGAAACGAATAATTTCTTGTAAGCTTTGCTGACTGTTAACAGAAGGTTTATTTATCTAGAAGATTTGGGTGATTTTCTTCGTTTGAGGATCATTAAATTTGGGAATACGACTATTAGGCAAATAAGATCGAACGAGAAGTATTTTTTTGTTAAGATGTCTTTTAACACTTGTGGATTACGTGGGAGAAATAAAAGTTTTATGTTTGCATGTTTTAGCTCATTCTGCATAGCATTTTTAATTTCTAAGATCTCTTTTAACGTGAACCTTCGTATAGTTAGCAATAGGAAAATCAATTCCGTTTGATATTCGATCCAGGTTATCTTCAGCTAAGACGTCAAGAGAAATCGGAAGTGACAGAGTCTGACCAAATAAATTTCTTGTGTGGACCTTGGAGACGGGTGAGTTTAACCCTAGCTATATACGAACCTAAGAAAAGGTTCATTACAAGTGGCGCCCTAGCAGGGATCCTGAGACCAGAACTTCACGATTTGAATAACAACTTTTCCACCGTCACAAACTATCATAAAATACACAGCTAACATGAGAAGGTCGTAGGTTTTTTTTTTATTTTATGGAAACATGACTTAGTTAGGTATCTCGAAGAATAATCTAAGACATGCGACGGTGATTAACAAACTTCGTAACACTGGAGAGCAACATGGAATATTCACGCGACAGAAAATATAGTGAAACATCAGAGCGGCATGTCATGGTTAATAAAGTATCGATAGAGCAGCTACAGTCGCAACCGCAATTTACACTCATATCTTTCTCAGAGGAACACACAGGCAAGCGTCATCGATCTGTATGATCTGTATGCAAATCAAAGAACTGTCGTACAATGCCTCTGTTACTCGATGGACAAAGTTTGTTGTGGTTTAGATACAATAAGAAATACTGGAGCGACCGGGAAGCGTTCAAAAGAGATTTTCTGAAGTTTTTCCTACCACATCAATATTTCGAGGAGATTAGAGGACGAACTGAGAAATCGATTGCAAAAACTAGGAGAGATGTTTAAGATGTATCCTTTGGAACTATATCTTTTAGGAACTATTTTGGAAGTATTCACAACCAATGATAATACAGAAGACCGTGAGACGCATAGCCAGTACTCCGATATGTGATCATTCATAGTCCAGTCTCCAAGTCACCTTTCCGCAACCAGCAGCAACTCCAGCCAACCGTTAAGCAAACACCTAAAGGAAAACCTAGAATTGTGACTTCAACTATTGCAGTAAGCATTCCAACACAAAGTATGCGATATCGAAATGACTCAAACAACATCATGTATCACCGCAAGATCGCAGACTAATCAAAGAAAATCAAAATTGAAACAAATGCAACAAGAGCAAGATTCGGGACCTATCAAGGTGCAAATACCAGAAGTTCAACGACAGCAAAATCCTAAAGTTAAAGAAATGTCAGAAGAGTTTAATTACCAGCGAGTAATTCAAAATCAGGAAACGTTACAAGTTTATTTAAAGCAAGTGCAACAAGAACAAGAGGTACCAGAGGTACAACAAAAACAAAATCCTAAAGTCAAAAAAATGTCAACAGAGTATTGTCAACAACGAGTCATACAAAAACAGGAAATACCATATTCGAGTTGAAGTGAGCGCAGCAACAAGATCCGAGACCTAGTAATGTACAAAGACACCGAGATCCAAGTCACATCATGGTAGCACCTGATCAAGATGTAAAACAACAGCAAGATACACAAGAACAAGCAGCACAGCAGCAAGATCCAAAAATATCAAAAAGCAAATACCAGAAGTACCACGACAACAATAACCTAAATTCAACGAAATGCCAGCAGAATTTAGACAACAGCAAGATATACATGAGCACGTAGCACAACAGCAAGATCCAAGACCTAGTAATATACAAGAGGTACAACGACACCAAATTTCAAGCCCTATCCAGATGAAAAAAAAGCTACACCAGAATACGCATTACAACTAGAAGTGCTTAACAGCTCGCAAGAACAAACACCGTCAAAGACTTCGCTAGTATTATGAAAGCAAAAGGATAAAATGATTAAAACGAATTCAATAAAATGTCAAATATTTGTTGAAATACTTAGTCCAGCCAACTCAATCATTACCATTAGCACAAATACCACAGCAAAAGAAAAATAGTTCTACTCACCTAAAGGAAAAAGTAATCCGTCCTCTAAAACAAGTAGGAGTATGTTATCACGTATCGCAAAAAACTAGTATTCAAAATCGGCGGTAACAAGTTAAATAGCGAAGTGTATTTCAACAAGACGATCACTACACCAAAAAGCAACACGACTTCTATAAAATATATAAGAGTCCAAAGCAACGTCACAGAAATTATACCGACAGGTAGTGGTTCAGTGCTATTTCATTTTCCCGAAAGGAAGGAGTAAGGAGAATGAAGGAGAATGTAACGGCCAACATTTTATTAAAAATTTGATCGTTACAACGCCGTGGATATGGCTGACACAAAACACAACACAAGAAAACTCACTTGTTTAATATGGAATGTTGAGTAAATCTGAAGACATCTGCATTAAAAGTTGTTAATTGATATTTGAAATATTATAAACACCAACTTACTCAAAGCCACCCCCGCAACAACAGAACAACGACATTCGAACCAAGCAAGAACCAAGCTTCTTATGAGTGCATTTCTCATTCTGATTTTTATTTAAATTTTTACTAACGACTTGACTTAGGTACATAACGACGCAGCGTATGTACGTTCTTATTTATTAAATATATGGCTAAGTAATGTATATATTTAGATTATTTATTTTAATCTTTAAAATATAAATTAACTTATGGACATAACGGCGCAGCGTAAGTACTTTCTTATTGTGGTGATATTGAAACAATACGTTAAGTATTTCATATTAAGTACATAATCATTAAATGTTCGGTGACTGCGTTCCACAGTTCCGAGTGTTTGGTGGTGATGAGCTGTTGATGTTACATTTTTTATTTTTAGATATTTGCATATAGCAGTTATTAGAGAATTTTTGTACTCTGTACCCATGTCCGTAATGAACATCTTCATTGGACCGTACAAAAGTATAAAATGTTCAAAAATTGCCTTGGCTACAGTATTTGCACTTTTATTTGGTATTAGGATAGTTCCTAAATATTTTGTTAAATTACATATAAATGTGACAGCATAGTCATTGCCATTCTGAGTTTTAGGTAATGGGCCAATTGTATCTACCAATACTGTGACAAAAGAACCTGTTGGCGTACCAGTTATTGTCATTGGTAATTTTGTATGATTGAGAATTTTATATTTTTGACATTTCTAACATGATTTAACATATCTTGATATGTCTTTGGTCATGTTTGACCAATAGAAATGTCTTCTAATTTTATGTATTGTTATGTATTGTTTTTATGTACTGTTAAATTTTTCAATAATTTATTGTTCTTGGCCTTAAATTCATTTACTGAGACAAATTTAAAAATTATGTCACTAGGTGCCATTTGCACTTGGTTGATGCGATGTTTGCACGCTAATTTCTTTAACTTTTGGAATAATTGTCCGAACTGAATTTTCCCATTGATAAACAGATCATCAATTATTATTTTTTCCATAATTTTATTTCCACGTTTTACCATAAATAACAGTGGTTAGAAGTCAATTTTAATTTTATTTGTTTTCTGACGTCAGTACTATTAATGACTTGATATATATGAGGCTTTTCGTACTTTAATTATTTCTATTTATTTCTTTGTTTTGTTTGGTGGTTGATCGAGTTATCATTTTGAGAATTATAATTGGTTTTTCATTCACATCTTTAAAATTGTCTATCGTTATTCTCGATAGAGCGTTG